TCACTACACTGGGCGTGAACCTGATGTCATGCAGGCTGTATAGAGACTTTTTTGGAATCTCCTGTGTCTGTCGAGTGTCCTGATCCATGGAAAGTTATGGTTAGATTCATCAGAGGGAGGGAGCTGTTTTCCCGTGACCTTAAACCTTTTATTATAACCTCTTGTGAATTATTGTGAGAGCATAAAACAAAGATTTTACAAACAACAAATGGAGAGACGGGAAGTGCTCACGCACACTGGGATGTTTGTAAGCCATTGCCAAAGGCAACAGTCGTTGATAAATGGAGCTCAGGAAGGGATAGACCACTGAATGGCTTTATCGCCAAGCTCCTTCCTGGAAACTGAGGGCATAACACTCCCCAGGGCTCCAGGTCGCGTGTGTTTACAGGGTCCTGCAGCGAAGGCACTTCTGTGGAAAAACAACGTAGAATGGCGGTGGGGCTGGTGTGTGGATCTGTTGATTAGTAGTGAGATTATGAAGGTCACCAGTTCAAATCCCAGGCTCAGCAGAGCGGTTTCACCTTCAGGCCCATGTGCAAGGCCCTTAACCCCCATTTGCTCCGGAGACTGGCTGACTCCGCTTTCTTAAAAATGTGCATCATTTCGTCAAGAAATTAAATACCCCTGAGGGTAAAATGCTACGAGAGGTGCAGCTCCACACCGGTGACAGCCGAACTCTGACTCACTTCGGCCTGCTGTAATACATGTGAATGTTTCACAGCTGAACTGAAATCATCAATGTTCATGGATGAATCAGGAGCTACTGTGTATGCAGCAACCAGCCATAACATTAATACTGCTGACAGGTGAAGTGAATAACATCGATTCTCTTGTTACAATGGCACCTGTCAGGAGTGCCAATATATAGTCAGTTCTGAACAAATTTTTGACGGCTAGACGAATGACTCAGAGCACCTCCAAAACGGCAGGTCTCGTGTGTTGTGTTTGTGGTACGTTGTGGTCACTACCTACCAAAAGCCATCCAAGGAAGGAAAACCAGGCCAAGGTTCAGTGATATGCGTGGGGAGTGAAGGCTGGCCTGTCTGATCCCATCCCAAGGGAGAGCTACTGTAGCGCAATTTTCTGAAAAAATGATAGATGATAGGTGTCAGAACAGAGAGTGGGTAACATCTTGCTGTATGTGGGGCTGCGTAGCCGCAGACCAGTCAGAGTGCCCACGCTGACCCCTGTCCACTGCAGAAAGCGCCCACAATGGGCACGTCAGTGTCAGAACTGGACCAGGGAGCACTGGAAGAAGGTGGCCTGATCTAATGAGTCACAGTTCTGTTACATCATGCGGACGGCCGGGTTCGCGTGTGTCGTTTACCTGGGGAAGAGATGGGACCAGGATGCACTATGTGAAGAAGGCAAGCCGGCGGAGGCAGTGTGACGCTCTGGGCGATGTTCTGCTGGAAAACCTCGGGTCCTGGCATTCATGTGGGTGTTACTTTGACACATACCACCTACCTTAACACTGCTGCAGACCAAGTACCCCCCTTCATGGCGATGGGATTCCCCAATGGCAGTGGCCTCTTTCAGCAGGGTAATGCTCCCTGCCACACTGCAAAAAATGTTCAGTAATGGTTTGAGGATCATGGAAAAGACTTCAAGGTGTTAACTTGGCCTCCAGATTCCCCGAGATCTCAGTCCAATCAAGCATCTGTGGGAAGTGCTGGACAAACAAGTCAGATCCATGGAGGCCTCACCTCACAACTTACAGGACATAAAGGATCTGCTGCTAACGTCTTGGTGCCAGATACCACAGGACACCTTCCTCCATGCCTTGACAGGTCAGAGCTGTTTCAATACCATGGCCGTTCGGAGTAACGGCTCATACACTGAAAAGCCAAAACATGATGACCATCCACGGATGATGCGAACGACAGTGATTGTCTCAGAACAACGGCTCTGCTTTGCAAATGAAGGAACTTAAAGGATATGCTGCTGACACCTTGGTGAGGCCTCGTTGAATTCATGCCTCGGTCGGTCACGGCTGTTTTGGCGGCACATGGAGGACCAACAGCACATTAGGCAGCTGGTTATAATGTTTTGGCTTTTCATCGTATAATGCTGTAGAGTTTTCCTGAAAGACCTCGGGGATGAATGGCTGGGATTTTGGAATCTACATCCCTTCTTCTGGAATCGATGGTCTATCCGCTTAATTTAAGTTAACCGTTTGTCCTGAACTGGAGAGCGTGAAAACTAGAGAAGCTTCCAGAGAGTTCCCCGTGACACGCAGAATGCTTATAAACATTCTTCAAAATAACTCGACTGCTACTCATTCTTCAACGGTGTAAAGAATGAACACATTCTTACAATGTGGACACGGTGACGTTTTTATGCTGCAGAAACTGCGGACAGGCTGCAGGAGATCCAGTGCATGCCAGAGAAATGTGGGGATCTGCCATCTGCAGGATATAACGGGCTACAGGCTGTCGTCTGCCCAGACGGAGTGCTCATACACGCCAGTGATTCACTGCAGTGCTCATACACGCCAGTGATTCACTGCTGCTGTTCATACATGTTTCCGGGGGAGGAGCTGTTTGTGCAGCACTGGAATTTCATTCATATAACTACATTAGTATTGTACGCTGAAATCTTTCATGTCACAAACCTTAATACTGTAAATAGATTTGCAGAATATTGTAAATAAACACACCTGATTTAATGTAAATCAGACATATTCAGGAAAATACAGAAATCAAGCTGTGGTGTAAATTAAACTATTTTATATTGTATCCACAGCTTGTTGTCGATTATGTCATTATTTATTGTCCTGACAATTTCAGTTACATCATCTTATGCGAGCCACATAAGCATAAGTGAATTCCAGCATTTCAGACAGAATTTTGGCCCACGTGGGCCACCGTATGCTGCATGGCCCCAGCCCCAGCCCCTGAACCCTGAGCCCCCATATGGTAACTGCAGGTATCTCCTGACATGAAGGCTTCGGGGTCATGGTGGGTATCAAGATGGACATCTGAGAAAAAAGGCAGGAACATAGACAGATGCCCAAAGCTACAAGCCTGGGCTGCGGTTTACATTTGCTATTTTTCTGCACCCCCACGGTTTGTTTGGGCATGTCTGTGTACATGCCTCTGGTTATGGAACTTTCTATTCTGAAGCGCAAAGGGGTTTGACATCCCTCCCAGATGGGGACATTCTGCTCCCCTCCTGTCACGTGAAACACTATTGCTCCAGGCTCAGCCCCCCACCCGTGGATAAGAATGAGCAGGGGGCCGGTGAGTGGACATCATTAACAAGCCTAAGCAGCGATCACCCTCACTCAGGGCTGCTGGCACTAACCACATTGCCGTCTTCGCTCAGATACAACGCGCCTGTTTATTACACCCTTTCTATACGGCTGTATTTATTATTTACACACATTGCACTATGAATATAATCCTGTGTCCCCCCCCAGCTCCACACTATCCTGTGAAACCCTCCTCCTGATACTCACTGTCTGTATGTCCCATGGTCCTGGGAGAGTGTTATTGCATGCCACTGTATACCTGCAGGTTGGTACAAGCCCACCCGACCTGACGTGATCTGCTGTAGCTATTGTGGTGTGCGTGTGGTGCAGCAGACTCTGTACCCGTGATTGGAAGGTTGTCGGTTCAAATCCCAGGTCTGAATGTCTGATGCCGCCATTGGGCCTTTATGAGCGGGGCTCAGACATGAAGCTTCTCTCTCATTTGTGTCTTGAAGGGGAGCAAGATGGGATATGAATGTGTGTCTGTGCTTGGAGAGGGGGGGGGGGTTAGGAGTGCAGAGATCCAGGGGGAAATTGAAATAGATTCCAATGCTGTGGTTCCTTCAAACTGAAGGCTTAAGGGCGCCACCTGGAGGGCTCCCAAGGGAGATGTTCCAGGTAAGTACCACTGGGTGAAGATCCCGGGGAAGCAGTACTGCTCCCAGCCGATGTGATGCCCAGACACGCATCACTGCCGGTGCCCCCTGACCAAGGCAAAGTGGAACTGGCCAGCAAGTCGGCACCCCTGAGAAGCCGGCGCCCTAGGCGGCCACCTGTGTCGCCTATAGGATTGACTGGCCCTGCGGGGAAGGATCCAGAACAGGTTGGAGGGAGGGATGGATAATCATATGGATGGATCATCATAGACAGGGCCTGTCCATTAAGATGCCCATTTGCTAGCCGATTTCACTTTACGTCCTCGTTCGTTGGGGGGGGGGGGGGGCTTATATATCTACACTACAGAGACTATAGCAGACTGCAGACTGGATGTAGTGGCAGTGGTTGAAGAGGCGGAGCCATGTGACGCTGTTGCCAGCTTTGGTCTGTTGGTTGCAGAGAGATTTTCAGTTTGAGACAAGTCCGCACAGACATGCACACACATTCATGTGTATGTAACAGTTTTACTACCTTGCAAATAGTCTGTAGGGTTTGCAAAGTACCCCAACGCTTTTGATGTAGCTAATTTTGGGTTTATAATGTAATAATATATATTTACCATAAGATTTCTTGTGTGCGCGTGAGCATTATGCCAGATGCGTGAGAGTTGGCAACTCTGGTGACAGTGAAACCCTTTGGTGCCGTCAAACATTATTACTTCCACTTCCAGCATTCGACAGACGTGAAAAAACATATTCAGTCGCAGCTTTGTTTTTTTTTCTTTTTTTATTTGGGGGGGGGGGGGGGGTTATGATGAAAAAGATGGCCGACTTCACACACCTTCTTGCAAAAGCCCTCGAAAAAATTCTCTAAATTCTGTGAATCTTCTCTCATATAAGCAGTATCAAGTTCGCTTGTTAATACAATACAGACTTTTATCATTAAACATTACCCTTGTGCCCAGTGTCCTGCGTAATGAGTTCCTTTCAGCATGTTTTCAACGCCAACGCTCTAAATTAATGTCTTTACTTGCTAACTAGCATGCCCAGGATCTGTCGGGAATGAAAGACCTTTCCACATGTCCGCTGCACGGCGCCCAGGGGCCGAGGGGGCAGACGGCGCATGCGTGCTGCATCCTGTCTCCGTTTCATTCAAGCGGGCTGGCTATTGCGGTAGATCGGGACCGCACCTGCATCCTCCAGGATCTGCGATTCGGGGGTGGGGGGACCCGATATCTACGCTATAGGGGAAAATAAGCCATACAATGAAGAAGCGCTATGTGGACGGCAGCAGGTTACGGAAAATGAAAAAGAGTAAAATCAGCGAGAGGATCTCCGAAAGGTAGGCGAGGGGGGGGGACGCGGCTTTGTGCGGCTCCTGCGCGCTCGCGTGTCGCCGCGTCTCCGATGGCTTATTTACAAACTAAACTCACCCGTGTGCGGCCGCGCAGTGATCTCAGTTTGCTCCTAGTTTAGCTATTCCGAGGGTATAACCTATATATAAGTATTTTTGTAAACATTGCATTTGGATACGAGGCAAAATGTTTGTACGAATCAGTAACATCAGCAGGAGCTTCTATATCTTATAACTAGCTTTGAAAATTATTCTCTATAATTCATTGTTGGTATCATAAGCATTGAGCTATGATCAGTTGCATTTTATATATCGCGCCTTTAAGGCGCTTGTTGTGAATTTATGTAATAAAAAAATGTTTATGAGCACATCGGCAGTTCAGGTGTTTTCTCGGCTTGAAACAAAGAAATGCTGTTGGTCCGTACAGGTGCGCGTTTTATGTGCGTTTATTATGTGTGCGGACCTGCGGACGCTGCGGCCGCGTATCTGAGGTTGTTTCTCACTTACGAATAACAAACACGATGACAGGATATTATACAGTGATACAGTGAATGACGTATACACCCAATATAGGGAATAACATACTGAGCCGATATAAGCAATAATATACGGACTCAATATATGGAATAATACAGAGTCGCAGTGGGGATCCTTTGTCTGGCTTTTTAATGCAGCCACGTAAGGCCCGTGATGCTGTCACTTGTCACCGCAGATCTGTGTTCAGGACAGATCCACGTTTTGTTCAGGTTACCTGCTCGTGATGTCCTGATTCCTCTCGTGAGGAAGCGGCTCTCTATAGCTACCGACTCGAGGATTTGCACATTTTTTGATGTTTCAGTGTTATGGACTCCGCCAGCCCAGAATAGTGTGTTGTCATGGTTACTAAACATAAACTGGGCCATGCTATGTCACCAGTGCGGATTGCACAGCAATGGGATGTGAGACGCGGAACAAAGGACGTCGGTACGACAGGCACTTTGTTCGAGTATTTCTTTGTTCAGTTTATACCATTAATTTGTGCGTTTATAGCGCAGAAATAGAATTTGTAATCAAATTAAATGTTGTGTATAATGAAGTAGTTGGCTCCCTATATATTTTTATATGTTTATGGTATGGATGAATTATTATGTATTATTACCGAGAATGTGCGGTTCAACCTATGGCTGTTGTGAATACATTTATGTTCTCTTTGATTTGTACTCATATTTAATTTTTTAGCTGATTTACAGTTTTACAGGCTTTGATGCCTCTGAATTTAGATATTATCTGTTGTCTGATTGTGTAAATATGTTTTTGAATATATTTAACAATTCATTTACAGTAGCTCTCTTTTTAAATGATATTAATAAGTATCCTATGTGTATCTTTTATATAATTAGTGGTTTTCTGTGTCTGTTTCAGTGCTTATACCTTCCTGAAGTTTATGGTGGTGTGGATCTTGGTTCTCCTGGTTGATTTTATCCTGGAGTTTCGCTTTGAGTACCTGTGGCCTTGCTGGCTCTTCTTCGGAAGTGTCTACACCACCTTCCACTGCCATGGCCTGGTAAGAATGCCGGCTGTCTCCCCTTATCGTCCGTGACGTCTCTGCCGTCTCCAGCTAAATATCTGTTTACAGTACAGCTGCTACTTTAGCCGTGACTCTATTGGATTAATTATGAGCGGAGTAACACTTTAAAATCAGTGTGATTTCACTTGGATTCTTAAAAGTCCTCGGGGGAGGGGGGGGGGGGGGGGGGTGGCTTGCAAAGCATGATTGTGCCTGATTGTATCTGTCGGCCAGACCATTGCAGTGTCAGTCAGGTGCGTTTCTGCTGGAACATTCCCGGTTTCTGACGTGGCCGCGTGCCTCTTGCAGGTGATCTGCGTGGTCTTTGTTTCGGCCGCCTTCACTCTCGACGTCTTCTGCTTGATTTTCGTTCCCCTTCACTGGCTGTTTTTCGCTGCCAGCACATATGTATTATTCAACTACATATGGCATACAGGTATGGACGCCGCTTCTCTGCCCGTTTAGGCGGGAGACAGAGATGCAGGTTGGTATGAACCAGCATCCTTGCTTATGAGAGGTAATTTACTGAAAGGACTTTCAGTGAGTCATTTTTATGTAAATTATAATTATAAAATAACCATCTTAGGCTTTACCGTGTTGTGGATATGTGACAATGATATATGCAAATATAATATTAATACAATGAACAGTTTGCATCATATTGGGGGAGGTGTGTGGCTCAGTAGGTTAGGGTGTCGTGCCTGTAATCAGAAGGGCATTGGTTCAAATCCCTGGGTCAGCTGCATGATTTCATAGTTGGTCCCTAGAGCAAGACCATTAGCCCCCAACTGTTCTCAAGACTGTCTGATCCTACTTTCTCAAATAATATATGTTGCTTTGGATATAAGTGTCTATAACTTTTGCTGTCTGCCTCAAGGGTGTCTGTTCATTTAGCATGTTCCCCTGTGGTCGTTTCAGAGAAGGGGCTGTGTGTGTCCACAGTATCCCTGTGGATCCTGCTCATGTACACGGAAACATCACTCAGGTTTAAAGACGTCAAGAACTCCCACGTCAACCTCTCACACCTGTTTGCGGCTCACTGGTGAGTGTGAACGCACCTGTGAGTGTTTTGTGTCGAAGAATGCGGCGGCCGTGGGAAGCGTGCACTCTCTGTGAGATTTTAACGTCCTCTTGTGTTTTACTAATGGGATTACTGTGTAGTTAAATCAGCTTTTGGAAACTGGTGAGCCAGCTGTTTTCTGTCTTTTCTAATTATCAATAATTAATTTAGGGGGAACTGTTTTTGCTTGTGTCTGACTGCATGCATGTTTCGGAGGGCGAGTCAGACATACGTGTGTTGTCATGCATGCAAAAGTGACAGAATTTGCAGACCCAGCAATAAATTAATCCCAAAATCATCAGTACCCCCAAGTGTGGCAAAGAGGCTTGATGCTTGTCATTTATAACTGGAAGCACCAGGCTGTAAATCTTCAGCACGTCTTACTGATTTATTATTTAGTCATCAATCTTAATCTTATTGGTGTTTAAAAGCTTCCTTAATAACTCACTACCCCGCTAGCCTGCTGTGCTTAGAGGTGATATGCTGAATGTTTGTGATCTGCTTCTAAAGCCCTTGAAACTGAAATGACTCTGCACCCTGCATGGCAAGTGTGGATTAGTGACACCTTATGTTCGGGTTTTATTGTCACGTGTTCTTAGAGACACAGTGAAATACTTATGCCACGGTTGCACGAGAGGGGATAGGTGCATCTGGGGTTAGAACAGATGGTAGTGCAATGCAAGACAGAGACAAGAAAAAATAGTGCTGTAAAAAAGAGTATAAGAAGTATAGTAAAAGGAGTATAGTATAGTATAAGGACTATAGTTAAAATAAATAAATACAAAATAAAACCTAGTTTTCCCTGAGAAAGGGGACAGGATGTGGTGTGAGGGAGATGCACTGATCCCAGGTTCTCCTCTGCCTTTTAGCATCGGCTACCCCGTCGTCTATCTGGGGTTTGACGCCACCTGTTACTTCACCAGCGTTTTCAAGCTGCGCTCGCGCAAGGCCGTCCAGAGTGAGAATGACTTTCACATGCAGCTGCTGTTCCAGTCTCTGCCTCCTGGACTCCAGCTGTACCCCAAGTGTCTGGCGGACTCCAAAGAAAGTAGGTGCCTGCCGAAGCAGCTATGAACACGACGCTTCCTGCTAGAGAACCACAGCGAGTGGCCGTCTTGAGGATCGGCCGAGGGCCCTTAAGTCATATGGCACTTTATGTTGCATCTGCCTTCACTGAATAATGTTGTATTTTACAATGTGAACAGTGCCCAAAAAGGAATATTTAATAAGTTCTGTTGTTTTTTCTCGTCCGTAGACTCCAAGTGGAAAATTAAACCGGAGTGCACACAGTACCAGTGTTCGAACGTTGCAGTTTCTTCTGAAGACAAGTACATAGTGGACTGTCTCCAAATTGATGGTGTGGAGAGGAGTGGTAAGGACCTGGAGGACACCAGGCTGGGCTGTCCTCTCTCCCAGCCTCTGGATCCGAAAGGTTCTGAGACTGATATTCGTGAAGATCCCCCAGGTCAGGAGCAGGAGCCTGACCCTCAGGGGGCTTCCAGCAGCATGGCGCCTCAGGAAGAGCCAGGAAACAGAGGCCCAAAGACCTGCAAGGCGTCCTCACCCAAAGTGCGCAGGGTGCCATCCAACAGCACTGCTCCTTGCCTTCGAGGGGACAGGAAGCCAAAGAGCTGCAAGGCCACCAGCCCCAGCCGAGACATAACTGAGAGGAACATCCCCAGCAACCAGAGCAGCTGCTTAGAGCAAATTACTAAGTATGTTGTATGTTTGAGTCTACGTCTATGGGCACCACGGAAACGGCAGCCTGTAAATAACCGTCACTCAGGCTGTGTGCGGTCCGCGGTATCATTCTCGATGTTAGCGACGGGCACCGCGGAAACGGCAGCCTAAATAACCGTCACTCAGGCTGTGTGCGGTCCGCGGTATCATTCTCGATGCTAGCGACGGGCACCGCGGAAACGGCAGCCTAAATAACCGTCACTCAAGCTGTGTGGGGACCATGATTTCCTTCCAGGGAAATGAGCAGTGTTCGGTTTACTTTCATATAATTAACAGGGTGTTTAATAAAAAAATCCATCATTCAGACCCTCTTTTCCCAGTGTTGCAATGGAGATAGCTGGTTCTTCCCAGTGAATCAAAGGCTCTGGTTTTGTTCGCTGGGATTTTTGTACAGGCTGGAGCAGGAGATGCGCCGGCTGAAGGGAGAACTGCAGACGAGCAAGCAGGCCGAGGTGGAGCTACGGAGCCACATGTGCAACCTCACTAACAGCGAGAGGAGTCTGCGGCCAGAAGTGTCACTTCTCCGGCAGGCAAACGATTCGCTGCAGAACAAGTGTGTTTAACCAACACTCTGCTGCCACCTAGGGGCCATGAGTGAAAAATAACCCAGCATGATCTCACTGACTTGTAAATTGTTATTGATTTTGCAGCTCTGAATCATCGCCTTTTGTGTTGCTGTCAGCCAAGTTAAAAATAAAACTTATAAATAAAATTAAACAATTTTCATCACTTGTAGCAATTGTGTAAAATCTCTGAGCCTCTCACCATATTGATATCCCCACAGGTTATAATAATAATAATAATAATAATGACTATTATTATTGTTATTGTTATTATTAGATTGATGTCCCCATTATTGGGGTCAATAGCTTTAGCTACCACACATCAAACTGTCGGAAATAGATCATGTAGAGTCACATTTTGTGAAATTGATTGGTTTAGCTAGTATTAAACCAGCTAGCCTTCTTCTAAGTTGTGTCTGTGGCAAATTGCAGGATCCTGTGGCTAATGAAGACAAAGCAGAAGGACAAGCAGACCAGCACGTTGCTGGAGAAGAAAGTGAAAGTGGAAATGGAGTCCCGCATCGCCGCTGAGAAACAGCTGGCAGAGCTTCATTCGCGAAAGCTGGAAGAAGCTCCAACCTCACCTCACGGGGGTCTGCTCTCAGCCAGCAGGTACAAACCCGCGCTATTTCAGCTACCCAGGTAGCTGCGTAGGGGACCCTTCCACCTCTTAAAGTGCTGATTTAATGACACTCTGCTAATTAGCTGTTGTGATAAGTCCAGGAGCTTTTTAAAATGTATTTAGTTTTATTTATGGATTACAATAGGCACATGTTGCAGTAAGTATGTGTCACCCTTCGTCAGAGTGCCTGCCAATAAAATCATTAAGTTCTTAATTGCTAGCTATTAGTTTGCTCGAAATGTTCACTGATTTTGCTCATTAGTAAGTTGTAGTGGTGCTCGACATCAACGTTAATGGGTTTTGGGCTGTACTCTCTGGCCTTGTGTCTTCGTATCAAGGTTCCAAATGTGTGTTTTTTTTCACAAACTTGTCACATTTGGCTTTTCTTTAAAAACAATGACGTTCTAGCTGTCGTGCTTTCCGCAGTGCATGAAAACAGAGTTTAACCAAAAGAAATTTGCCTTTGTCAGACTAAAAGCCTGTATTCTTTCCATCTCTTACAATAGGCAGGAACAAACAGAGACCCTGTTGTTAAAAAGAAAAGCTAAAGATCTAGAAACAGAATTCAGACAACTTCAGCTGGAGTGTCAAGGGAAAGAGAGTCAAATAATAGCTCTAGAAAATGAAGTGGAGGTAAAGATGGACATTTTAAGTCTACCTGTACAGATGTAGGTGTTAAACGATGTGAGATGCAGTCTGTGACCTGTGCTTGTTACAGTGCCGCTTGGCTGTTCTTGTTTTGGACGTGGTTTTTTTTATTTTACATTCTTTGCTTTTTTACGTGTGACTTGCATGAGGCTCCCATTGATGATGGGGCGCGTGGGCGTCATGGCGATGTGTCAGCGAGAGGTGTCCTCATCCATTTCACCATTATTTTTCTTAGTTCGACGTGCAATTAAAATGGTTATACTTAACATCTAACTCAGTATATTTGATATTTTATCTATGTATACATTTATATACATTAACTTTGACTTTGCTAGTAAATCATGAAATTTGATGTCTGCATGAAATATGCATGAGTTCATAGTAATATCATCACACGTTTTCTTTACACGACAGTTCTGCTCTTCTTGTATCTGGTTACTATAACACCTCGCGATGAGCGATGGCGTTCTTGTCGTCTGTGCGGTACGTGATGATTTTCAATGATCATCGAGCTGCCGGCCACAACCTTTGCGCGACGCCCCTGATCTCCTAGCAGCCCTGGTGACTGACGCTGCTTGAACTCGGCCTCCGTGTTCCTCTCACAGCTCCTCCACAAATACGAAAGCGTGGAGCATGAAGCTGAGATGTTGCTCTCGGCGCTGACGGCCATGCAGGACAAGACCCAGCATCTGGAGTACAACCTAAGTGCCGAAACCAGGATCAAGCTGGACCTCTTCTCTGCGCTGGGAGATGTTCGCAGACAGCTCGAAATCGCCCAAGGTACCTCCCTCTTTATATTCTCATGTTTTCATGAGCTTCAGCGTACCCTGTGAAGTGCATTATACTGAAATATTGGCCATATTTCTGATATTCTATGCCTGGAAAACTTAAGGGAAATGGCTCTTGATGTGAAATGTCTCAGAGATGCACGCGGGAAGGTTAGGGCAGAACGCGTGGGTCCTCCCGGGACGGCATTAATTGTGTACGGTGAGAGTCCTTCTTCTTCTGCATTGTTTACTTCAGCTGCGGGAAGCGGGAAACCTGCTTTGCGGAGCAGCTCTGTCTGACTGCACTTTGATCTTCGACACTTGGCTGCGATTCATACTAAAAATAGGATCATACGGCTTTTCTCATTCAGCCCGGCAGATATCTCAGTCTAGACAGCATTATTTCATCAACCCAAAACTGTATTAAATTGAATGTCCAGCAGATTTTGTTAAGAAAAGGACATAAATGAGTCTTTAATTACAGGCAGTTCTAGACTGATGTAATTAATCTGTTCCACAATATACATAAGTGAATTTGTACGTACGTTGGATATATCTTCCCATACAAGTCAGGGTATCTTATAGCCAAAAACACATAAGCCAAAAATATACTAGTAATGCGTACTGAAGAACACGTCCAGGTCTATGTCGTCTTTTTGCATTAAGGCTTCTGTAAACTCTGTGTATCTTGGATATTTTTGGTGCAAGTCTGAAGTTGGTTTTACGTCAGTCAAGAGCTGCCATTTCCTGCTTTAGGAAGGTTCTTTTTCAGCAATGAGTCCATTTTATGTGTTAGACAAATGTTTTTATAAATGTTTTTATTCTGCTGTTGTTTTATTATGGGAGTACGTGGTGCTGTTGGGGATATTTCATTGGCTGTTTCTGTAGGAAGGGGTATATTACGCATATGTCTGTGACCCAGGCTGAGAAAAGTTAGGTTTCAGAATGACATTTGAGACATTCATAATTTATCTCAGAGTCCTGCATGCATTGTTCCTGAATTTATTTATGTTCCTTCTGCAGGAAGAATAATCAAGCAGGATCAGGAGATCGGTGAGATGAAAAAGAAGATCGCAGAGGTCATGGCAGTAATGCCCAGCATAACCTACACGGCCCCGTACCCTATAGTGCCACATCTCACCAAGTTCCTGAGCTCTGAGGACTGTGTGCTGGATCGCACGGCACTAATGTACCAGTGTCTTAAGAAGTAGGAGTGCTATGTTCTACAGAACCAAACAGAATCCTCTCTGAGTACAAACCCAGAACTTACCGTCTGGAGTCGGTTTGAATGAACGCTTCATTCTCCGGTCCCGAGTATGGACACGGAGCCCCGCCCCGCTGGCAATGTAACTGTGAGCCGGCCGAGCTCGTTAACCTTCTGTAAGATCTCACCTTCTTCAACGTGGTTTACACTCCTTCACAAATGTGCACTGAGGACAGTTAAGCTTCTCCGGATTTTATTTAAGCCATCAGTGAACAAACTCTGCCGTCATGGATACTGGGCAGTGATGGATAGAGGTGTCACTCGGACGTGATCGTTTATCATTGGTCGTTCAGTAAGTCGTTGATATATATTTTAAATATGAATAAGGAATGCTTTTAAATATATGTCAAAATATGTGGTAAATTAAAAGATATTGTAAAATGATTAATGAATACATTTACTTATTGCTGTTGTGTAGAGTGTTATCTATAGCCTCATATGCTGTGAGTGCTTCAGTAATCAGTTTCTCGCAGTGTACTGAAAGGACCAGGTATAAGACTACAGGATTTGAGATTTTATCATTATAAGAGTAATATTTAAATGTATCATTTAATTATTTAACTTCGAGAGAATTTTCATTGCAGGTAGAAGTGCAGTACTGAGTCTGGGATGGTAACCAGAAAACCTCAATCATTTATACGACATCCACGAAATCACACAAAAATAGCAATAAATGTCGCTTTCAATTAAAAGGACATATTTTGACATATATGTTCAGAGATCCTTAGGGTTATGTTCACACGTTACTGATGTTTAATGTCCTGCTGTAACTGATCTTGACTCCTGCTTGATGTCTAACCTGTCAGCCCAAGTTCAACAGGTTCAGCAAATGAGAGATAAACGGTGGAGATAAACGGAGGGTTTCATCATTACTACGTATTACGATCCGTAAACACGAAACTTTTACCGTTGCAGTTATTTTTAAACACAGGTTTTTCAGTAATCAAACTTGAGGATTAACTTTCAGATTCACACAACAGGAATCTAGCTGAGCTTTCAGAAAAAAAGCTATCGTTTTTGCAAATACAGTTTTTTTTTTCCAAATTGTCAATTCCAGTCTGATTTTTCAGAATAGTTCTGCAGATCCTAAATAGGACCATAGACACTATGTAATGTATACAATTTATCCTTATTTATGCAAATGCTCTACACTGTTTTTTAGGGTTTAAATGAATTCTTTGCTCTTGAGCGGCGAGGAGCCCACCACCCAGTGGGAGCACATCACTGACAGAAATCGGGGTAAAACGCGCAGGCGGGGGCCGCTGAATTATTCATGAGCTGTGTGCTTTTTCACTTTGCCAGATCTGATTACAGGTGTGGAAACGGCGATGGCATGTGTGCGGTATCAGACGCCCGTCTGAGTCACAGGTGATCTTCGCGTGTCACTTCAGGCTAAATCCACCAGGTGTCTTTGTCACCGTACACCGTGGAAGCCGGGTGACAGATTTGGGTCATATGACTTCTAGGGCTGAATAAATTGCCGTAAAGATTGTGTTTGTTCTGCAAACAAGCCCCTCCCCCGTAGCTATTTTTCAGATATCTGTTACTCAGATGCCATTTCCATAATACCTGTAGATACTTATTATTTCCACAATTTTCTGTGCAGGGAATGATATTATAAACAGCCTAAGCTACAGAAAATTGAAAACAGAAACACAAAAGGTTACACTTTAGAGCAGAATACACCTCATATTGTAATCTGCAATGCATTGTGGGATATACTTACATTATTTGCTTTTTTACATTTGAGGTTTATTTTTCATTTTCATTGGCTCTTCGTACGGTGGCTTTCCAGGAGCCTGAGAGCACTAATCAGCAGCTGCCCTATTGCTGTTTAGAAACAACACTGAAGATATTGACCATCAGCAGGCTTTACTATGAGCAGTGGTTCAACGCGGGGTCTTTATTAAGGTCTTTTTTGCTGTTTTTAATTTTTCCTGCTGCCATCTGGGCAAAATTATATAATTCTTTTCAGTGAATAAGGTTAGTTTCTTACATTACAAATCAGCTTGTTTGTAAGCAGCAGCTTCAGTTCTATCCAAATCGGTTTCTTAAGCTCACTTTAGATTTCCCAGCTATTCATTTCCAGTTTAGACTAAATCTTTGGTCTGTGATCTAGCAGTATTATCTCGTTTAGGATGTAAGACTTCACAAGTAAAACGGTTCTTCAAAGGCTTAGACTTAACCAAGATTTGATCAAGACAAGGTAACAATAAGATAAAATGTAAAAGCTGGCTTTTCAACAACCTACATGGGGCATGCTACATTTCACTATGCCGAATGATCGATTTTGACATTGTTTCTGCACTAAAACAAACAATTAACCTTACTTTGAAGAGTCAAGATCAATTCTATATAAACTTTACTTTTGATGTTATGTCATTTTCGTCTCTCTGTTGATTTGTAATCTGTTTGGCACTTTGTTTACATTTTCATGTGTGTATTATGTACTGTTTTTGTGATTATTGGTGTACAGTATTTACACTGAATGAGGAAGGTTGTGTTCGAGTGTCCAGGCAAACCGGACCTACAAGAAATGATTCTCAAAATGTACACATGTTTTAGTGTGATTAAGTGCTGATGCTCTGTCTATGCTTTATGGAGACTGTAGTTCAGTCTTTGGCCATATTTTAAATGTAGGCTCTGAGTTATCTGGTTTAATTCAAAAGATGTGGCCTTTAAACTAGGACAATGAAACTGAAATCTTAACACCTCCTTCACAAGCATGATGTGTCAAAAAGACATATAGAGAAAATGTTTCACACTCCAAATGTAAATTAGAATAGCTAAACAATGCGGCAGTATACTTTCTAAACAGATAAGGAGTCCTATTTGTCAGATTTGTATTACAACTATCGCTTTCTGAGAATTCTGGTTTCCACGGCCAGTGTCCCAAAAGCAGACATGTCACAGATCCGACTCGCCTGTAAGCAAGACCACAATGCTTTCTTCAAAAGACCCCTTGGTACCAAAATCACATAAGTCAACTATCAGTGCAGGCAGACTACAGAAAAACCCGGACACCTGGTGACGGGTCAGGTCCGTCCTGCGATTGCCCACATACTGAGTAATTGCGCTCGCATGCCACATCGCATGTCATTCAGTCTGCTGAGGTGCAGGTCTGCCGCATGGACTGATCCCCGACTTACATCTACTGTTCCTACTGTCTCCCTGACATTTTTAAATCTCATTCTCTAAATCTCAGAAGTTTAAATAAAGAGACCAGAGCTGTCCTTTGAAGAAGGCCCCTGCCATGGGTGAAATTTCAGCATTTCACTGAAATGAATTTTGATGTATAACAAAGTTTTTTGGTTACATGCTAAAATTTCATACACTTGTGCCTATAATATTTCATTTGGAAACTCCACTTATACACACACACACACACAAAAAATTATGTAATTAACTTTGAATCAAGGTACACAATGTTTTTCAGTCTTTTTTAAATGGATGTAATGTACTTTGTAGAAATTAGAATAGCTGTGATCAGACCTTGGAGTTGTTTGTAAAAAAAAAAAAAAAAAAACAATTTATACTTTTTATGAAATGGTCTCCGTTGTTTTTGTAATTCTTTTCCATCAGTGTTTTATGGGAAGGAGGTATTTTTACGGCTTAATGTGCATTTTTACAATGCTTTGGATTAGTTTTCACTTTGTCCATGTTATTGTCTGCACGAAAAAAAAAATGCATTCCAGGATATTTTTTAATTTCAACAGCTCACCTGTGAATGAGACTTTTTAAATGCAGGATGTAAACATCAACACAAGGGCTCATTACTTGTTCTTATTTTCCCTGCATACCTAGTGAGCAAGAAAATAAAGTTTTCAGTGGTCTCTTCTTACTTTGACTTCTGCTATGGATTTAATATAAACATCCAATGGCATGTTTCATGTACATATTAACTTGTTAAAAACCTCTTTCCATAGACCACAAGAGGATCGTTAAATAGATATACATCCAACCTTAGTTAGTCCTCTCATTTGCAAAAAAACCCAGTCATGCATGTCTTCCATTTAAGGGAGATTAATTGAAAACAAGCTTTTAGTTAATTGCTTGCTAATCATTTTAACGTTTTCGCTAAATGCAGTTTGACAGACGACTGCCTGGTAGTGTGGACCATCCCACATCTGGCATCCCTGTTGTCCTGTTTTATATTTATTTAGATGACACTTTTGTCCAAAGTGACATACAGTAGAGAAAATAGTGTCGGGCAGTTCTTAGATCAATTGGGGGTCTTGCTGAAGGGATCAACAGTGAAATCACTTTGCTGACTATGGGATTTGGACTGGCGACTTTTCCAGTCCCAACCCTCTGAGCTATGTACTCCGCCATTTTTTACTGGTTTTCTGTGCCTAACCACCAGAGCCACAAACCACAGACAATGGCATGCTGTACCCAGTCCTCTGCTGGGTAAGAAATTAGGGGGGTGGATGGATGGATATTATGCACCTCCTATACCTAGAGTCAGAGCTCTGATTGCAGCTGTGGATTTAATGACAAACAGTGAAAAAACATCCAACAATCATTAGTCTTTATTTAGGATTTGATTCATCAGTAAAGCTTGTTGTAAAATACATTGATTTACACTTAATGATCGTGAAACCCGCCACCTTTATCTGTCCGTGCTCACTCTGCAATCACACTTACTGATACTGTCTCTAAATGTCTAAGCAGTCAGCTTGCTCCATCCGTGGTCAAGGAGACCGATGTATCTTTCTGTCCTAACTGTCCAGAGATCTCATGTGCTGACTGTTTGTAATGTAATGTGTTTCTGTGTTCACCCTGTCCGGGAAAAGTGGTTAGAGATCCTTCAGAGAAACCTGCCTTCCAGTTGTGCTACATTTAAGGTATTAAGATATATATTCCCCTTGAAAAGTGTGCAGTGTAGACAGAAAGGCCTATAAAATTATCCTGCAGTTGACAACAGACTCAGAGTTGCGATCTTATACGAGGCATCCTGATTAACTGCAATGTCCAGCCCCCAAAGAGAGCAGGAAATCCCGGGACGGACCTCCCCCCATCGCCCCCCCCCCAGATGCGGCATCTCTACCAGTCGTATTTTTGCCCAGCGGAGAGCCACAATGAGCCTTGGCTCTGGTGATAAAGCGGCGCAGAACTGGCCAGCTCTGAGACAAAGGTTATCTGACAGAAAGGGCCATCTCGAGGGGAGCCCTTAAAGCCAATGACTGTCAGCTTTCATCATCCGGCGAGTGCGCAGGCCCTCCTGCAGACGCTGGCCTCAGGCAGGGAAGGTAGATGGAGCTTATCCTGTCTGGACGGCCCGGCCTACATCTTTGATGCCGGCTGAGCCCTTCGCTCGACTCGCTCATTCATTAACCTTCAAAACGGGCTCTGTTTAAGCCGCTGGCCGCCGTTCGATATACCGGAGCCCCCTGGCCGCCCCCCCTCTGTAGCCGGGTTACACACCGTACTGATTCAAACATCTGTCTGAGGATGCTTCGGGTTTCCGGGGTTTGGATCATTTAACTCAGCCACGCTGGTTTATCACGGCTCTTCGGGGACAGGCCGGGGGAGGAGGGGAATCCGTGGATTACACGCTTTAATTAGTCCTGGGTGTCTGTGGGGGGATTTTAAATACAGGATATGGATTTAACCCCCGATAGAGGATACAGGCCGTGTTTACATCCTGTTAGCATCAGAGGTGAAAATAATGCAAAGGTGCTTGAGGTGGGATTAGCCATCAGCCGCCACCATGGATTCTCTGTCTGACTCTGTGCCATTCCCTGGTGACTTACACGCACGGCTTATCTCGTAGAGTAACCGGATCTTGTCTTTGTTATGCATTTTGTTTTAATGGTCCTATCCTCTTTGTTTGTTTTTACGTTCTACTGTTGTTCAACAGCATCACATGTTAAAGCTGTATTAGAGATTTTACCAGCGTGTTACAGATGATTTTGCTAAGGTGTACATTAAGTTTTTTTTATATATATATACTAATGCCGTAAGCAAGATTTAGTCGTAAAACCTTTCTGGCTTCATGGTTAATGATTCCTATGCTGTGCAGGACTTACCGGGGTTGTACTGTAACATTGTGATAGTAAACAGTGGTTCTCAATTCACACAATTTACATTTATTTATTAGTAGTAGACGCTTTAGCCCAAAGCAACTGAGGCAGACAGAACACTACAAGCACACAGCTGTCAAGGAGTTACCTTCCGCGTGGTGTGTGGTTCAGTGGGTTCGGCCTCTGTGCCTATGATCAGAAGGTTGCTGGTTTGAGTCCTGTCTTTGGCACTATAGCTACATCTGCATTGGATGCTCCAGGATTGCCATATAAATGACTGACCCTACATTTGGGTGCCAAGCTTAGTTCTCAGCTGTACAGGACAATGCAGTAGTCAAAGAAAACATTTAAGGCTGTTTATCTGGGTAGTAAGAGTATATTTGTTAAGGATAAAAAAAATACAATTTATCTTTAGAATTTTAAATTGGAAATTAGTATTTCTTCTGTTCTCCAACAAGTTACATCTAAAGTGATGTCTTGTTGGATGGCTAGATGAACAATGCTTTGGGTCACAAACCTCTCCTCAGGGGCACCTCAGCCATTCTATGTCTTCAATGAATTTCACCACCAGCTCAATCAATTATTGACCAAAAAATATGGGGCAGTGGTCAAGTCAAAAATTCATGGCTGTATTGGATGGTTGCTACAAATATTGTAGTAATTTTAGAAGAAATGGCTAAGCTAACACACTTTGACAGACATAATGTCATAGTTTGAAATCAACATGAAGATCATTTAAACATTTTCTTTTACTGGCTACAACTTTTTCACACTAATGCAGGGATGTCAAACTGCAGTCCTGGGAGGGCACAGCCCTGTGTAGCTTAGTTCTTTCCCTGTTCCACCACAAATGATTCAGCTCAACAGCTATGTGGTAATTCGCACAAGGGGTTGAATCAGGTGTGTTAAACGAGGGGAAACCAAAAAATGTGCAGGACTCCGGCCCCCCAGGACTGGAGTCTGACACTTGTGCACTAATGTGTGTGACACACACACATACATGTGTTTGTCTCAAAGGAGAGCAAGATGGAATACGTGAAAAGAAGCTTTCCAATGTACTTGTGAAAATGGCAAATAAAGCATAATTTCATTTAGGTGCTGCAAGGCTGAGCTTCTAATGAATGACCAGTAACAAGTGCAAGTTAGCATTGGAGCAAGAGCTACACAATGGATTTGCACATATCACAAGAACCTAATAAGGCAGCCATTCAGTCAAAGACAAGTGGAAAAAGAGCATTCAGGACAAGCAAGAGATTAGATAAGGAATCACAAATGAAGACAGAATGCTCAGGGGGGGGATGGCGTAGTTTCTGGAAGCTTGAGAGATTTTGCTGATGTGTCTTATTCAATATCCAAGCAAATTCAATTTTACATCCTGCCATTCCCATCACACAGCGTCCATCCCATGGAGGCGTGGCCCAACCAACACACACAGACTCATAAATGGACTTTGCAGTAGCTGAATTATATGCAGCTTGTATGGGAACAAATCCAGAGCAAAGCAACAGAAGAGAGGATAAAAACAGGGTAGTTCATGGACTTAAGTGAGCATCCCGCATTTCACATGGAGAATGATATCCATCCATCCAACACCACACACACACACGCACACACATTTGAACCCCTAATCCTGGAGATGGGTAGTGTCTATCCTACCCACTGAGACTCCGAGCTTATGGAGGAATGGAAGATATCTATGTGAAAGAGGCCAACCCATGTTCAGATTTTCCATGACACCATGGTTACTGAGCGCAGAGACCACTAACCACAACAGCTTACGGACCTAAAACGCACCCAGCAATTTCATGAGAGCTGTTCTTCTTTATCAACACTGATCTTCTAACTGCCACAGAATCTACTGCAAATGATGCATATAAGATTTCTGGACTAAAAGGCGGCCTTTTGAAACTACATGACCCAGAGACAAAGAATAGGGAAATCTTATTTTTGGGGGACAAATTTAAATTCACACTTCACAAACTTTAAGAGCAATTTATGTGCAGATTTGAACACTTCTGTGTTCTTGATCATAAATGCCACTTGCTGCTATGTAAAATTAAGAGACCTGGTGGGTCGGGCTAAGGGTAACCCCCCCCCAGATAAAAAGGCTTCTGTATTTTTTGACATCTGATATTTCGCTGGAGTTCATCTTAAAGTATTTTTGCTTCCACGGCAAGGTGTTTTTGGCACTTAAACCAGCAATCTTTTAAAAATCCATGTGTGTTGTCATCAGTCATCACCGTCGCCCCTAGCTAATTACTGCTTCTTTAAATTTCCGTTAATTTTCCGGTTTTTCAGGTTCACCTGTCACCGGCCTTTACACTGTCTCCACCTTTTCTGTGCAGTCAAACCGCCCATCGCTTGTCTTACGATGATCGTTCATTTGTCAGGCTACTCGAAGCTCAAAGCAGGTTGGACCGTAACTGGAAAATTACCATGAAACGTGATTCGGATTCGTGTTTGACGCATTACTGCCGTTGTTCCAGAGAGCGGCAGTGTTGAGTTTATGCACGGAAATGTGCATACTTCTGTAGACATTGAAACTTATGTTACATGTTCAGAATTATAATGATTGAGCTGTTTTATAAATATCAATAAAATGTGTATATAATTTGTATATCTTATCCATTCAGTTCTGTAAACATCAGACTAAGAGACGTAAACTTTAATCTGTCCAACAGTAAACGCACCATTACGTACATTAAACAATTACCACAGAAAATGAATTAATCCGACATTCTTTGGTAAAATGGCCATTTTGCAGAATACACGGGTGACACAAAAAATACTTAAAGATTCCTTATATTCCTTATAT